TGTTTTGACACGACTGACTATGGGCTTTAATTAGCGCACAAGAAATACATTATTACACACACTATTCTTTTCTAACGGAACCGGCCACAATACAACATTTAGGTTAAAACGTAAATAAACAACACGGCATTTCCCTTTTTACTTCAAACAACACAACAGAAGGGGGGAAACTTCACTCCTCCAAAAACTTTTTCTCATTTTCAAATTTGGAAATTACAAATAAAGCGCCCATTCTTTCCTCTTGGGATTCTTCCATCTATTTGGGTCTATTTGGGAGATGACAATGCCGCACTGATGGAGCTTTCTGCTGGCGAACGAGAGCAGACAGAGCGGGGTGCGACTTATTGTTAAAGGCACCGTGGAGCCCGCATTACGCCAAATGAATTTCACAGTTTGAGGAAAGCTGTGCCAAGAGGCTGTTTTTGAAGCAGAACGCGCACACGGGCACAGCACAGGCCTTATTACCGGTGCGTAAAACGGTGCCATGGATCGGTTATAGGAGGTGCACTTTTTACGCACTGCTTTTGGAGTGTGTTAATACAGTCACTATGGTTTGAACGAACAATCATTCTGTACCTCGTTGTATTTTTGGATCTATTTCAAAAGTATAATCGTAAAATGATTTGTTGTGACTTTTTACATTGCTTTTGAAACACTTAAACAAAATGATGCTGTTGTAGAATGTATACGAATGGTTATAGAAACATATAAGCATTGCTAACCAACGCATGCATTCACTTAGAAGCGCGGCTAACCACTAAACACGATATGTTTATGTCGTGTTGCCATCTGCACAATCTAAGCAGCGAAGAGATATGTGGGTTAAAAGTAAACGTCTGCTGATACCAGAAATAAATACCAGGCTACTTTTAATTTCCACCTCTGCTCATTTAGAACCAAGGTTGCACTGAACGCTCAGATTTTGCAGCCAAAGACTTGTCACAATGTACTGAAAAGTATAAAAACAAACCTGAATTGGCGTACGAACAATAACTGCCTCTTAAGTAACACAGGGTTAATATGAATGGCAACGTTAAACTTTTACGCACGGGTTTTTGAGTACATGAAGCAGTTTCACTCCTAATTTGTAAAGAATGACAATTAATTAAAGCTCACACTTGACATTTTGCGGTATATTACAAGTTGGAACGCCGTCTAATATGAATACTATTTACAAGTGAAACGCATTCTTGGGGCTATAAATGTAACCGAGATTATCACAGTGATCCATATAAATCATGTATATCAATAAAAGGAAAAAGTGTATGCTCGTAATGTTGAATTTATGACATGTTCTACATCAGGCTGTCATTCAAAAGCCATGATTTTTACATTTTTATGATTACATTTTTCATGAGGTCAAATGTCTTTCAGGACAAAATTATGTCCTTTTTTACCGTTTTATTTCGTTCAAACGATGGATTGTACATGAAGCATGGAATCAACCGTAATCACATCCAATCATCCCAAAAATCAAACTGTCTTGTAACTATTTCAGCGTCTATATCTCTCGCATGCCTTTGTTGTGACCGCATCATCCTTGTGTGCTTGGCCTTATACGCACGGCCTTTCTTCTCTCTCTGGCCCGTTCACCCAGGCTGATCAGCACCCATGGGGGACCGCGCCCGGCATGACTGTGGTGAGCGTAATAAAGTGAAGCACAGGGATCGATAGCAGATGTAATTTAGCTCCTGTACGATTAATACTGCTGTGAAGAGACGGAGTGATGCGCGGAAACTATAGTCCTCGTGTAATAGCATGGATACTGCAGATAATACAGAATACTCCAGTAAAGTAGAGGAAGCAGATAGTGCTCAAAAACGAATACAAACTATACGGACGTATCCCAGCTGGTGATAGTCATCTTTTATTTTCTCGAACGTATTCGATTTTTATCAATATGTGTAAAAGCATACGTCCCACCAAGAACTGTCAAAGCAGTATTCCTAATTATAAGCTATATGCTTATTTATAGCTTATCTATTTAAGATCCTGCAGGACTGATTCCTCCTAACTCCCTCGAGTCCGGACTGAGATGGCAAAGAAAGCGTTTGAGTTCAGTGGCTCCAACAGCAAGAATCAGCTGCAAAACGAACTGTGTTTTGAGCTGGTCTCTCTGAACACTTTAAAACTATGTTGTAAACTTTGAGAAACACCGCAGTGTATGATGTGTTTTTTTTTAACTTCTGACTGCCCGTTGCCTATAGCACTGTTAAGTAACGTAATGTTGATGTGTTGATCCGTGTTGCTCCCGCCTGACCAGGTCACTGTGAAGAGATCTAATTCCCAATGAATGAGTCGTGTGCCCACTGGGACTGCACAACGTGCATGTGGCCACGAATGCACTAAAATAACTCCTCTAACAGGAAAGTTCGAAATAAAATATTACAATCTGATCACATGTGGTAAATGGAATAGAAAATAAGAATGATTGGTGTATATTTATATCCATGGCATTTATCATATGCAGTGTATTGTATGTTATGTGTAAGTTGACCCCGAAGCCGTCATTTACCATATAAGGGTAACTGTGTTGCAACAAGCGCTCATTCCATGTCACTCAAATGCATGAAATTTGATTTTAAGTATTACTTCACTTACACAAAATAACTGATTTACACGACGTTTTTTTGTATTGAATATGATAGATCTGCATATACAATTATGCGCACAAGAGGAGGTTTTAAGACTCAAACAGAGCTGCACTCAAAAAACTCATTTAGTTATAAGCTTCTCTCTCATCACTTTAGCTTTACATTGGTCAAATGTATAAACACCATAATCGCCAGCCTTTTAACGATCCAACACGATCTACTGTTTTCTCCTTTCATTTCACATCATGCTCCACACTCTTGTGTGTTAATCTGACTGCGCTTTCCCAATTCAAACCATAAAACTCAACTGTATGAAGAATATCCATACAAAACACTTTGCTGATCTCAGTAATGCTGTAATAGTCGACGTTATTGCGCATGACACAATCCCATAACAAGTTGCAGGCTGCAGTTATTAGCTCCCATGACTCCAAAGCGCGCCCCATTTGGACGCGGCCTTGCATCCTGCTGCTGCTGCTGATCTTTGCCACCGCGGGCCTTTCATTTCCCCCCTTCTCCATTTACGTTCGAACAGTTTCTTCACACACAGCAGCAGCAGTTGCAGCAGCAGGAGCAGCAGGAGCAGCAGGAGCAGCAGCAGCAGCAACTAAAGCGCGCGTATTGAATAACTCAAAACAAAATTAGGTCTTCTATAGTTTTATGCCTTATTGTTCAATTGCATTTAACAAGAAAAAAAAACAGGTTAAACAGTAGAACAGATGTTTTTGTATTATAGCTTTGATTTATGTGTTTGATAATAATACGTTATAACTGGGCTCCACTGGCTACCAACTATATATGAGAAAACGCTGCTGAATTCTGTTTTTTATCAAATTAAAATATAAATAAAACTATGAAAATGACGTATTATATTCGATTTTACACTTTAGCAGTATAGGGTTGTCTCTATTTAGAAGGCGCCACTCATACTCTTTGTGGACTATTTGGCTGCTGAAATAACGTGAAGTGACAGCTCTAATGACGTCCGTGTGATCCGTGGGAGCTGAGCGGCGGGAAGTGCAGTACCGTCTATGGCTGCAAGATGACGCTGTTTCACCACAGATACACGGATAGGGGGCGAGTGAGGAAGCGTTGCTTGATTTTTTTTTCATTTTTTTGAAGCCTGAAAAATCTGACACATGGCAGTTTTATAGATTAGGAAAATGTGGAGAGCATACAAAAAGATTGAATGTCATGTTAACATTATATTGTTAAATAATACGCTGTAATGCTGTCACGTGACTACATTTCAAAATTTAGATACTGGAAAAACAATAAAGTGACATTTTCAAGTCAAAATGATAATGGTTTGCATGCTTTTTTTTCAAGTGTATCAGCTTTGGCTTCATATACAAAAAGTGCTTAAGTATACTAATGGGTTTTATAGTGCACTTTCTCAAACTGCCGTCTATTGATATTATATTTGATTAATGTCTGATTTTTGATGCTTTTAACAGCCTGACAGAGCACTACAATACATATCACTTTTGGGTTTCCAATTTGGCGTGTACAATTTCCAAATAGATGGTTATATCTATTATATTCCAAATAAATTATACTATATTAATTGAGGAAAGCAGGTCAAACATAGCTAAACACATGCGAAAGACTGCAATGCCTAGTGAAGCAATGGCCCCGAGGCACTCTAAAGTTTAAATTCAAAGCATGGACTTGCCAAAGCCATTCGACTGCGTTTTTGTCAGGAGGAAAAAAGTGTATTAAAGAGAGAGCTGGGAGATGCTCGGTTTAAAGAGAGGTAGGTCACATGACACAACAGCTACATAATTACCACGCTAATAAATGCAATCACATGATATGAAGAGACAATGAAAATATGCAAGGCTATCTGCAAGGACACTGTAAAAAGCAATTAGTGTAAATTACAATTCGATGAGACACAAACACAAATACATACTACGAGAAATGTACACCTCAGAGTTCCTTGGATCTATTGCTTCACAACCCTAATTTATGTGTGTATCTACGTTTCACCTGCTCCCCTGAAAGTAATACATTATCTATTGTTTGGGATACTATAAAAATAGGTAATATACTATCTATTTGGATATTGACACACCAAAAAGTTCCCTGGCTCTAACTGTAAACTTACTTTTATATATTTTTTCCACCTCCATGCACTAGCAGCACCCACATCCACTGTATAATTTATTATTTTACTTTTACTAAATTGCCTCACACAATACTGTATCCTGACATGACTGCTAATGCTCAACAATTGGGTCAAGCTAACAATAGGCCTGTAGTGTTTAATCTGATATCTAACAGCACTGTACCGATACCGGTATATACGATTTATGTCCAGCTCTAATTGTCAATAAGAATGCTCAGATATAACTTCATGGATGGCGCCAAACTCCAAGCGTGTGACAGGGGCGGCACCAGGCTTTACGGCGCCGTCCCGTGTGACACCTCATTAGGTCCCGTTACAGAGCTAATACTGCGCACGCCGCCGCCTCCCTGCGCTGTCACATGGAATCAGAGGTGAGTAGTGGGAAGCGGACAGATGCAAGGATTTTGGCCCCTTATGGAGACTGCTAGTAGGGCCCCACTACACAACAAGGGAGGGACTCAAATCTACCAGTTATGCTGTTCAAGAAATATACAAGAAATAGGCAAATTAGGTAAACGAAACAAATTTAACTCCTCCCTCTGGTGGTAGCATAGGGAGTTACAGACTGACAGCATTTTCTACCTTCAAACTTATTTCACCACATATTTTCTATGTAAGATATATTTTCGCATTTTAAAAAAAGTCTATAATTTGAATGGTTGGAAATAATGCATAACATTACTTATATTCAATGCCTTCAAACAGGTGAAATATTTAGCCGGACATAATAATGGTAATTTAACTTAATGAACGCTTAATGTAACTATTTGCCTTGCTGTGAGAATTGTCAAGAAAGGTCTGGTCTCTTTAACCTAAACAGTCTGGGCAAAAAAGACAATATATCAGATATCACAGTAAAATTCAGGCTTGTGTGACTAAGACTACATTATAATACCAATACAAAGATAGAAGCCTCTAGTTTAAACACAAGAATGGCTCAAAAGATGGAATACTGAATGGATTGGATTTTTTTTCACAGTTTTATAGGGAAAGCATGAAGCACAGTGGTGTCACTATTGCTTGCACGGCCCTGGGTGAAACTCCTTGTCAGGGCCCCAAGTTTTTGATGATAATAATAACGGGACTAAGAGGCTTGTGGCGCTCTGACCTATATCATAACACATAGTTATTTTTACCACTTTATTGATGAGCACTGGATATTATAACTTAATGTTCAAATCAAATATGATTCATAGTTTCTTTCCATTCTATGATTTTGAGAATGTTTGGTTTAGAATGTGAAATAATGTCTTAACTAGAAAATCAAAACAAGGAGAAACATGTGTAATAGAGAGTAAGGGATGACCAGGAGGAGCCACCACTCCCATCTAGTGGTTGAAATGGGATTCTGCTTTTACAGTAAATACTTTTTGATGAGAAACATTGTTTGTAACATGGTTCAAATTTCACCACATTTTCACAATGTCCCCTTGATTGATCAAATCTAGACTTTATTGTAGTGTGGATCGAGTAGTTCCATCTCAAAAGCAGTACAAAACAAAATGGGAATCATTGTTAAATCTTATTATTGTCTCAGTTATTGGCAAAAATGGCCATGACGATAAAATCATTGTAAATAGACAGCTACAAAAAATATTGGTAAGTTATAAACAAACATGTTATTTTTTTAATTAAGAATATACAGTATGTTAGTATTTCAATGCATGTTATCGCCCAAAAATAACTTACGCTGCAGATCCACATCAGCCCCATTTCATGTCAGACTTGAATTATTGAACAGCATCCTCAGAAAGGGGTCATGTCCTCTGCATCTCAGAATAAAGTTCACATGAGTGTAATACACAAAGTGAAGCAAGTTCACATAGTGCAAGTGCTTGGTCCTTAAGAACAAATACGATGCACTATTTGTATGTATGAAATGGGATCTTGAGAATGTTTCCTTTGGCCTTTTATGATTTACAAAGTTAAATAACTTCCTAAGTAGAAGATACATGGAAAGAAATGTTTGACGTAAGAATTAAGTTAAAAAACAAATTATTTAGATTATGAGGATAGGATAGGAGCTTAGATACAGCTAAACACAGTCTTAATTCTGTTACTTATGAGAAACTCAGTTAAAAACAAATTGGATTTTCACAAGACCAGCCCCAGACAGCTCATCCATGTGTTCGGAGGAGTGTCACAACACATGTCCAAAGATGATAGCGGGCTAAAAACAGGAAAGTGCCCTAACCTTGGAGCTGTCCCCACAAATGATTTGGTAATTCATTAATCACTGGCGAGTTCAAAAGGGCAACGTCCCTCCACAAAACTGACTCCCTCTGTCCCAACAATCACAGTGTGGAAGTGACTGGAAGTGACTGGAAGTGACTGGAAGTGACTATCTGGACATTGGAACGAGCAGAAACAAGGAGCAGTTTGAGGAAGGAACATTGACTCTGGAAACTAAACTGAAACTGCTTGTTCTACATAAGACATACAGCTATCCAGCATATTTCATACAAGGCCAGATATAAACGAGGAAAGTCAACCACATAAATGGAGCACATTCTCTTCCTTAAATTGCCTTTTGAAGCTTTAAGTCAAGTTACACAATTGTCCTTAACACCTATCTCTCTAAAAAAGGTAACTCCAGCTAAGGCATGGGTATGTAACTTTTTTTCTCATCAATAAGCCATGTTATTTATCCAACAGAAAGAGTCCTTTCAAAGTAAAATGTTGAGAACAAAGCAGAACATATTAGAATAGAACATATAAAACATTACCAATGGCAGTCCTGTGAGTCACTATTTGATGCTTTGGGCTGAGATCTGATTGGCTGAGATCTTTCTGAATATCTGATAGAGGCCAAACATTGCATGTCAAAACCGGCGACAGAACAAAACAGTTTTGAGAGCTATGTATTTTATTACATAGTTTTTTTATTTATTTAAAGTTGCCTAACCCAGCATTGACCATGTTTGATGGAGCTGAAGTTGGCTGAAGAACAAATGTCTCACCAGCTACATTATCACCATATACGGAATTCTATGGGACAATAAGAGTATTTTTTTGGTTTAGTCAAATAAGAGTATCAGCACGCCAGACAGCCACTTAAATATTCTTTATGCACTATTCTCAAATGATTTTTCCAGTCTTGTTGTTGTTTTCTCTGAATGCCTTTAGGTGTAATTTCTTACATCTTCAGTTAGATGGCAGATTACTCATTCTAGTAATCTCTATTCATCTTTTGTGTTTTGTCACTTATAGATAGTCATGTGATGTTTAAAAGAGCCTTTATGTATATGTTTATACTGTAGTTTAACATGTTGGTGGACGGCAGCAGAGATGTTATATGCTCTATTAACGAACCATAGTTTACCATGGTTACCAAGATGACAAAAGTCAGATTATAGTCTTAGTTCAGAGTTCGCTTCTCTGTAATTCCTGGGCAGATCCATCTAAAACAAAAACAATCACAAATGTCCACATCTTCTTTCTCAGTTTGTATCAACTATGCTGTAACTCTTTACTCATAAAGGTGTCTAGAAGAGGAGGAAGATTCAAAGAACATTTGCATGATGTTGGCCAGTAGAAAGGACTTTCAGACATAAACATAATGTGTCTGCTTTATGAATGTAATCACTGACAAATAAAGATCCGGGAAACTATTTTCTATTGCATCTTTTCCATAAAGCGTTATTGAAGTGTGCTCGCCATCCTCTTTTTTTACCTAAATGTTCTCAAGATCTTGTTTTAGAGCCAGAATGAATACAAACTATGTATCCCATTTGGTGCTTAAGTTAAAAATATCCCATTGACGCACAATTTTAATTCATTTATGAAATCAAGCAGATATTGTTTGAAGTGTTTGAACTTTCTTTTTTGTTTCATTTCACACACACACGTCACAACACAAATAGAAAATCAAAACATGGAAAAACTGGTTCAAATTCATAAATTATAATTTAATACCAAGAACAAATTTACAGCAGAATGCTTGTTTACAATAATCTAACACAAACAAACAAGAATTGTGTTCAACTATAAACTTCCACACACACTCACATATATCACTTGCAATTAATAATAATAATAATAATTAATAATAATAATCAATAAAAAATGTATCTATACGTTATCAATACCCTGCAGTCATATATTTGATATATTTTTATAAAAAGGTGGGTCAGTTGAAAGTGTTCATAATTACAATCATTGTTCATTCTCTGGTCCACTGTTCGCTCCTGTGAGGCGGACGCGCGGGAGGACAGATCCGCACACACAATCACGCATACACTCCAACCACGCTCACTTACACACAGCCACACACACACATACGCACAGTCACACACAACAGGGCTGCAAAACATCACAATTGATGCAAGATCCTTATTAAACTAACTGCAATTACAAAATTGCAAAATGTGCATTTGTTTAAGTTTTTGCCAAACTAAAAAACTGCAGAAATGGCCTAAAAGCAAAAATTAGAAACATTAGCATATTATCAAAACACTCTTGGAATTGTGTCATAAATACAGTAATTAAAAGAAAACACCTAAATTCCACTTTTGACTGATATTGTGCAGCCCTAATGCTCAGTCAATGACACCAGACACATGCGCACACACACGCATTTTCTTATAATTAAGACCAAGAAAAGCTATTTATCACTTGGAATGAGAAAAAGTTACGACAGTCAATATATACTCAGAGTTTTTTTGTTTGTTTTTTTCAGAATTCCATAAATTTTTGCCTATTTTGTCATTTTTGCACACACACAAGACCACACTGCAAAAAGTCAAAATCAGGTTGCGTTTGGTGACATTGTAGTATAGGTTGACTGTCTTAAACCAAGATTCGACCAGTGGGAGAAGCAATAATGCCTTATATTCTCACAAGGAATGATGGGAAAAAATGACACCGCACTGTAAATAAAACTGCAAGTCCCATTGGCAAATTAAGTATCAAAATAAGCTCTAACAAAGATAAGTATCCTAAATTCAACATTTTTTTTGCCTATTTGTTGTCACACCAGCAGACGCACACACACACTAATACACATTTATACATACTCATACACACTTTACACACACTCTGCACCTGTCCGCGACCGAAGGAGCAGTGGTGCTAAGCTCCATCGAAACCTGCTCACCCTGTTTACGTCTGCGCGAACAATGGACCGCTTCTTTTTGTTGCTTTAAATACAAGGGCTAGTGTACTGAATGCACAGATTATTTCTATACAGTCCCAACAGAACAGAACAGAGGAGAAAAACATTTACATTTATATAGCAAAGGTAAAATAGGGTAGCGACCTGTGGCCATGCGTTCACAGTCTGATATACATGAAAAAGAAAACATTTTTCGTCGTATTATGTATATACATTACAAACAGAACTTTCAGTGCTACTAGCTAAGTCCGCCACTCAATTGTCCGAAGAGAAACAAAAATGGCAACCACAGAATTCTTCGTTCTTTATCACATTTTATACTCTTGTAGAAATGAAAACCCGAAATAAACTGACCTATATTTACAAGGAATACTGCCTCAGAAATCAAAGTATTGGAGGGTTTTTGTGATTGGCTCCCGAAGAGGGTTCACTCGAGCGAGGTTTGGGTGGGGAATCACATGCCAGGCACTTAAGCTGGAGGAGACGCTGTGATAATACTGCCATTAAACGCTGTTACCAACTTGCACGACCCATTCACGTTTCCTTTATTGTCTGCTACGTCTTTGCAATCATGCTTTTGGACCCAGAATGTACGATGCACGCACGATCTTTTACTTCACAGAAATGTCTTTGAATTCAGACGTGCAGGAGTAGTACTTGTTTAGCTGTTAACTATTTAAAGGATCTTGATCAATTTACTTGTTTTTTGATATTACTCAGAAAAGCATGAACCTTTCCTTTCACTAACAACTACACGTAAAACAAACAAAAAAACCTGAATTCAAGTCCATTTAAGCTTGCCTGGACGGTGCATTTTTGCAGCCCACACATTGCGCGCACAGGTAACTTTCCATGTTCACAACTTGTAGCACTTTATTGTCAAACCAATTTGCTATCTTTAGAAAAAGGAAGACAAACTTGGCCAATATTGAGAAAATGCGACGTAAGGCAGTATTGACGCAAAAGGAACGTTCTAACGGGTCGAAAAAGTCAATCGTCGTGAGCGCGCCTCGAGTCTATAGACCTAAAACTCCTATGCAGCGGGTTTATTTTAATTAATTTTAAGAACATTTGCTGAAAACATCATTCCACCCTGTTGTAAAAGTAACACCAAACTGTATGTAGCACTACAGAATTCACATAGGCCGGTTTGGGAACAAAGAAAGTCGTACAAAACACAGCTATACATGGACACAGGACAATTCATTGGAGAAAAGAAACCAAAAAAACAATCCCTTTTCTCTATTTTTTCCCCCAAATCATTTTTAAATGCACTTATTAATACTTAAATGTTCCTCATGAGGACGAACAGAACAGAAAGAAATCCCTTTTACGCCGTTATCTTCTTTCAAAAGTTCAGTTTTTGGGAGTGGAGGGGGAGCGATGGGTATTCACAGTCATTCCAAGTCTTTCTTCATTGAGAGCCAGCCCCGTGTAACAGCCGGTTGCTTTTTTTTTTTTCTTAATATATTCCTTCCACAAAGCAGCTACAATCACGCCCCCCCCTCCCTCCCCTTTCTCCACTCCTGTGCCTTTTTAAAAACAGCAAGCGGCTTTTGTGTCCCCCTTTTTTTTTACTGAATGGACATGTAAGGCCAGTTAAAACTGCTCCCCGAAAGCAACATATCCCTGATGAGAGTTTCAATGGGGGTTTTACCTACCAAGCGGACGAAAAACAACTGTTCAATGACCGAAGACGAGACGGTGCGCAGCGAAGGCAAACGCAGTAAGAGTTTGCCGAAGCGCGTGGGCTGGTTGGGGTACTGGCTCCGGACGTATTCTTCCAACGCGCACTGCGACTTCTCCTGCAAGCTCTCCACATGTGCCACGTCCGACAATCCGCAAGCGTCTACGAGAAAACACAACGAGAAATGTCAGAATAAAGTCAAACTCAAACTCGGGTGCAAGGGCAGAGATTTCAGATACATTTTACTTCAAGCTATGGTCTCTTTCACAAACACACACTATTTCTAAATGGCTTGATTTGAGAATGTTGAGAATGGTCATTTCAATAGTTGGTATGAGTTTAGTTCTACCCTAAGGTTGTTTTCACAGTTTCATAACCTTTTTTTATTTATTTGTATATCAACAAGAATTCATTGCTTGAATTCTCGCTTTGTAACCATATACATTCACTCACTTTAACTTAGATTATTTTACTAGTTTCAAAGGCTGTAATACATTTCCCATAATCATATCTCACCCTATTACAACAAACAATTACAGCTTGACATGATCGATATATGTGGAATCTTGACAGAAACACCATAAAGAAATTCGGAAATCTCTTCCAAAATGCTAAATGCAGGGTTTAGGTCATTTCAAGTTTCGCTCCAGAAAGTCTTGTCATAGATGTGCTTTAGAATGGCCTTCAGCTCAATAAGTTTGTCAGTGAACTGGCCATAAAATTGAGTGGACTGCAGTGAGTAACAAAACGGTACATTGTTTAATACATCAGTGATTAATGTCCCCTACAGGTGATGGAAAAGATGAATTATTGACAAAAATAATATCTCAATTTATTTAGGATGTATTCCCATATATGATATAACACATTCTTCCATGTTGCCCATAATCCTGATTAATTGTTAAGGAATTTTCCAGTTCTGTCAAAGCTTTTTTTTCTCATAACACAAAGGAATTCTAATTCAATGATGATGATGAGTGGTATATGACATGACATCTGTTCATTACAGTAGTATTGTTGCACTATTTCTTTCATATTTAATGCCTCAAGAATGTTTGGTTTTGGAAATCAGAAAGTTCTTGAAGGTGTTTGTGTGCCCCTGGTTGGGGAAACACACTTCTGAATGATTTTAACACAAATTAGAGGATTTATTCTTGATTTAACATGGCAAAAAAAGATAAAATGAAGTAATTATTGCTTGAATCAAGTTTAAAAAGTATATTCTGACTGTCATAAAAAAAGCTTCTCCAATGAGACAAAGCCATTTATTCTTATTTCAAGATTATTTTACTTTGTCCCATTGGCATATTTTTATTGTAAGGCAGTCAGAAAGTGCCCCAATAGACTTTTAACCAACTTTGAGCAATTACTGACTTAATTTTCATCAGTGGAATGAGTGAGTGAATGAGTTTATATGGCTAGTTTATAGACACATTTACAAGATACACCTATACGATTGGAATTGTTTTGGAAACCATTTTAATTACATTATTTGATTCAAGCTAAAACATATTTCTCTTAAATGACAAAATTTATGAAGTATTCTCGGCCACACTAGCAATTCATTCTACTGCACTCAGGAAATGTACATGATGCACACAAAGGAGTGCAGTACTTCCATACAAACGAGTGCAGTACTTCCATACAGACAAGCAGCATGTTTTCACACAAGCTTTAGAAGCGATTAGGAACGACTCTTCCGCACACTTTTGACAACCCCAGTTCATTGTCAAAACAAATAGAAAATAAAGTTAGCGTTTGTGGTAATTATATGGGCGCGTAAAAGTCAAGAGAAAGCCGAGAGTGTGGATCGTGGCTCTGGTCCAATTTGTGGCTGCTGCTGCTGACAGTTTATGGCTGCAATAACGCGCCGGGTGCCACTTCAAACGCTGCACGCAATAATTGAGCATATTCATAGCTTAAGGTGATGCTTTTTTTGGTTAGCGTTTGGAAACTACAAACACACGTGTTTCTAGTTGAGTTTAAATGGTTTTAATGACGGAATTTGATCTTCATTTCAGTCGTTCATAAAATAGTTTTGTTATATTTACTTGATGAATACTTTCAACACATCATTTTTATCTCAAGCAAGTTCTGAATGTGGTTAAAAAAGTTTATTCAAGATCAAATTTCTTTTTCGATATTTGCATTTGCTTGTCATACATAAACAAACCTCAAACTAATTAAACTACCAAATACCAACAAAATTATTAATTCCAATTACAGGGCAGCTCAATGTCAAGTTAAATGTTACTACTTATTTTCTGCTATTTGAGGAAAAAGTATTGCCCTTTTTGAAACAATGAAAACTAAATATTGATGCTAAACATAATTTACTAAACAGATTATAATAAATGCCACAATATGTAAAATTCTGAGCTTGAATTAAGGTTTGGGATCAAATGTATAAGTTTCTCGATTATTTCAAGTCCTTGGGGATATATGCTGAGTTAAATATTGTGAGTCTTTGAGATTATTGTCACAAATACCCACATCCAAAGACCAAGTTCGAGTTTAAGATTTTAAGCCTGACGAGGGGTTCCAATTTTGCAGTGCACAATGAGGAAGAAGAGTGAGACCTCATGACCTTTCTTGAGCAGTGCAAAAGAGGAAAAAGAGAAAGAGAATTGCCCCCAGCAGCTTTGAGGAGAGCTTTGCCGTCACACTACACCATCAGAGGCGCGTAATCAGTGCAGCGCGTGGGCGGCTGCAGATCCAGAGCCAAAACACAGCACTCCATGCGCTTTCTGGCTCAAGTTTGGAAAAGTTGAAGGAAGAGGGTCACGTGTGAAAAGGAACTGAAATATTGAGTTCAGGTTGTGGATATTCATGTAAAGCTAGCACCAATCGTGTCGTATCAACAAATGTGGAAGAGTGTCTGAGGTGAATGAGCCGGTGCTTGTGGCCTGAGGGTGTGGTTTAAGCATAGGAGGAACAGATGCACTGCAAAAAACTATTTCCAGGTGAGTTATAATGATTTGAATTACAAACCCGAACACAGGTCATTGTTAATTTGAATTACTAAATAAAAAATAAATCTGCTTTATAATAATAGAGCCTTAATGAATGTAGAGCCTTCTTCAAGATGAATCTGTAATTGTAACACTATAATGCTAAATAAAATGTTAAAATAAGTTATGAATGAAAGATATTTTTTGATAAAACCTTTCTTAACAATGAACACATAGTTTATTGTTGTTTATTACGTCAGTTTAAACACTTAAACGTGTTATAGTAAACTATCGTGCTAATACTTCCATCAAAATCCCCCTTGTCGTAAAACCCCTAAATAACACTTAATAACCACTTTGTTCATTATCACTTAAGTTTATATTCATGCTGATTAAATTGTAGTAACTATAAAACATTCATTACAACCAAATTAACTTTAAATTATAACTTCTTGTTAGAACACTGCTCCGACATTGTATCGCAAACTGGTCCAGACAGACGCTGACTTCCCCACTCTTAATTCGTAATCAACAACCATTTTATTAAGTCTTCACATTCTATAAAGGTTGAGGGAATATAAAGTGTAGACAATTAAGTCTACAGCTGCATATTTTGTCAAAACACTGTTCCCATTTTGTAACATTTGCATTTCTCTACAAGAACCCATCCGTGTCTAGACCCCCACCCACGCGTTGACTTTATCTTTGCCTCGTAGGGCCACAATGGGAGCGAAGGTCAGCGCAGCGTTGCGAACTCGCCTGGGCCTGACCCACTTCAGACTGTTTTTCCACCGCCGCCGAGTCCCTCCCAATAACACCGCACCTTTTTTACCATGTGCAAATGGGGCTTGTCTTCCACCCCTCCCCCACCACTACAACCCACCACCCCACCCGCACCCATGCATCGTTTATATCTGTCACCAAACAAGACATATCCTTACGGCCTGTGCTGATAAATGGACGAATCAAAGCGCACAGAGCGAGCAAGTTAGTGTGGCTTTTAACGTGCGACTGTATAGGCTATAATTGCCGGTCAAAAAAAATTAGGAGTGTCGGTTTGATGCAGGGGGAGTGGTTTCTGGACTGGTGTGATAGACATTTGGCACAAGTGGATGAATTGTGCCAAGAGATTTTAGCTCCACATTTTGTAGTTTTTGATTTTTTTTTTCAGAGGGCGTGTAAGCGGTTCTTTGTCTGTGTTGTAAAATAAGAGAGAAATATGTATCCTCACAGATAATGGCAGGAGGGGTTTGCGCTCAGTTTGGCTAAACAATTCAGAACAGTTTGAAAGACAAGAATTATCAATTGGTTTAAGTTATATTTACTTGATGAACATAGATTATTTGACTTGTTTCAGGAGAATTCTCATAAGTATAAGAAGCACTTGTTTGCCAATGTAGTAAAAACCAAATGTAATGTCTTAATTTAAGCTCTTCGAACTAGTTGGACATATCTCCACACTACTTAACATTTTTGGTTATATTGGGAAAACTATCCAAGTCACAAGAACAGACAAAGATATCCACTCCAGCCATTTCCTTTGAATATCCATGGCATGGTTTCCACTCTGCTGTGACCGCGCGCTTGAGTGTGTGAGATAATTCGCTTGATCGACCATGTGTTTATATTATTTATTTAGTCGCCTGATGCCTGTGTCTTGCTGAACGCGCACAGAAACTGGTGATTGGACCAAATCTCGCAAGATGGAATTCCTGCAAGTGGAATAAGATCTCTCGGACAAAAATGGGTCAAAGGAAAGGGTTGATGCCGATGAAGGTGTGAAAAGTCTTTGATAGGAGTTTGCAAGTCTGGGGTTGACCATGCTTCTAACCAGTGGTAAACCGATACTGATATCCAATATCGGTGCCAACATTGGAAAATGTATTGGATCAGGTATGGATTCTATACTCGGTTCAGCAGATAGCATGATTGGGCATTTTAATTGATGTAATAAAACAATGTACTGCTAACATTAACCCAGTTTTTTTTAGCTTCTACCCTTACAAAGTTGTTCTGCAGTAACTTGCCGGATAGTTAACAGCTTAATACACAATTGACCCAAGTGTCTTCTGATTTAAGGAGAAAAAAATGATTTTGTCAGTCATTTCTTGGATTGGATTAGTTCATATGGGCAGAGGTTGAAAGTATTGAGACTGGTATTGGATACGGAAAACCTGCTTTGGTGCACACCTACTTCTAACATAACTTTTCCACTCATCTAACCACACACACAAACACACACACACTCACCCGTAGTGAATAGCACGATGGCCTTGAGGCAGCTGTACTCTGCAGAGTCCACGTGGAGCGCCTTGAGCTTCTCCACCTGCTCCTGGAAGATGCGTATGTGGTCCATGAACGCCACCACGCGATCTGCGCTCATGGGCGATGCATGCAGTCCCGCCGCGGCCAGCAGGGGCGCCACATGCAGCGGCATGGAGCACTGCGCCGCGTTCAGCACAAACAGCTCACTCCACGTCAGCCTCAACAGCGCCACCTGGTCCGTGATCTGCAAGTCGGGGAAGAACGGGATGTTGCGGGCCCACTCCACGGCGCTGAAGAGCATGCGTGCCGCCAGTTCGCATATGTTCTCGATGCCCATGATGTTGTTGGGCTGCATGCACTGGCTGCCATAGCGTGACGTGGGGTAGGGCTCGGCACGCAGCAGGAGGGAGATGTAGCCAGACAGGTAGGAGTGGCAGTGCAGCGGGTCGCCGTTGGTGAGCGCGAACTGGCCATGGTGCGGCTGCGTAGGTGGTACTCGTCCCCTTTGCACCGCTGCAGTAAAAAGAGAGACTGCAGATATTGAAGCCTGAATTCTCACAGTGGGGGTTTCAAGGGAGTGGAGTGTGATAAGCTAACAAACAGTGCTGTCAAGTACTGTAAGTTGCTTGTATTGAGTGGTTTCATCTTGATTTGAGAGCATTTTAATAATTTTAAAGCAAGATTTTCCAATGGAAGACGTGTCAAATACCTGATTGGTCCAACACCAGCAATTTCTCACTGGAATGGCAAAAGAAGAGACTGAGCTTGAAGCTTTAAGCTGCGGTATTCTATTATTTTGAGACAGTCATAATAGATCAAGTAGAATGTGGGTTATTTCAAGAAAAAGAAATATTCCCCTTTTTTGCAGTGTGCTGTACATTGCAAAGCCAAAACTAATATAAGTGAATAAATAATGGGATATGCTTGTTCCATCAGCAAATCAGTATCACTGAAATTATCGCCATTTCTTTTTCAAGCTTTGCAACTATTTTTTCTCAATTTATGTCCAAACACTTTTTCTTGGATCAAGTTTTAACACAGCAGTTTCCCTTGTTATAATCATACATAAATGTCTCCATTAGAAAATCACCTCAAATCAAGAATTATCACTCAAGGCATTATAACTCACCTGGACCATGTGTTTTTACCGAGTGATAAGCACTTACAAATAAAGTCAGTATTTTGATCGTCTTAAAATATAATTCGCTAATGTACAAAGCGTGTGTAATTTTAGGACTGTCAATTTATGGGCGATACTGATACGTTCAAGCACAACTATTTATTTGTGTTGTTTTTGCAGTGAAAGCATGGACTGCCAAGAGTGATGCACTGCAAAAAAATTAGCAAAGTAAGCTTACGGAATGGGTATTATTTCCATTGGCATTTTCTGTCTATAAAGTTCAAATTCGGCCTATACTGACAGAATAACTGAACTGCACTTATACATATATTTAAATGTTACATATTTATAACATTTTTACAGTGTTCCCTATCCGTTTGTGCTATCTGAGACAATACGAGACTCACGAAATAGACCTTTTCAGCGTGTCTATGGCTATTAATATTATTTCTTAACTGTTTAAAACATTGATAAGTGATACGTACACCCTTTCGAAACGTATACGTATTTACAACAACGCAACAAAAGCGACGCAGGCGTATTACCGGCGATCAAGCACAGCGCGTCCAAATCCAATCAATGTCAATACAAAAATCAGACTTCACACGTCAGTCAGTGTGGAATGGCGCAGATAACAGATTACAGCTAGTCACTTCTCGCAGCAAGCACAGGCTGAACACGTGCAAATATATACATCACTGATAGACGTTTTGCAGCCTGTCAACAGTGCAACTATTGTGAACTAAACAAATGAATTAATACAATGCAGTTTGTTGAATATTGGCAATCTAAATGTGTATGTCAACGCTGTACACACGCGCATTATCTCTCAATGCTTTGTTTTTACGTCACAGCCGCGCGTACTGTAATTATCATTATTATTTTTTTCGACACATTGTTTACAAATATAGCAGTGTAGGCAGTAAATCGCAGTCAAATTGAAATGCCATAGTAATTGTTCTATCAATGTATATAAGTCAGAAGTTTAGACGCTGTAGTTACATAAATAGTATATTTTTTGACACACGTAGCAATACATTGAAAAAAGTGTTGTCTTGTAAGTTACATTTGTTTCAAGCACGGTGCATATATAAATTCTATGTTTTATCCTATTGTATACACTGCAAAAAACCCACGCATAATTTCTAACAACTTTTTATATTTTTTCATGTATATTGTACACGTAATGGTCACCATTAAATCAGACTAGTTCACGTTCATATCTCAGTGTAACCCATGGCTATCACAAGCACCAGTTTAGTTGTTTTAGCTTTTTTTTTTTAAGAGCAATTTTATTATTTTACTCTATTAATGGAAACAAATTCATAATGGCACTATAAGCATGCTCAATCACACACACACTCTCTCTCTTTAACACTCACACACGAAGACACACAAGCACGCACACACATAGACAGACACAACACACACACACGCACACACACACACACACACACACATTAGATCGCATTATATGTCCAATCAAAGACAATAGGACGCGCGCTACCCCCAAACTGCGCGTCATTTACTGCTATTACCTCCATTATATTTGCATTATTCTTATTTCTACACGTTTCTTCGTGTATCGCAAGCCATTGTCCACATCATGCACACGGAAAGCCATCAGCACAAAGGACCCACAGCGACAGTAACCCCTAACCCACTTCGCGTTGTAGCCTCCGTGGTTTTCATTTACGTCTATTTTTGACCAATATCTGGATCGATACGCTTTGGCTTTTGACTCTGCTTGTGTTACGAAAAGTAGGGCAGATAGACACGCTGTTTATAAAGCCTTTATCGCGCACTGATAATAATAATATACGTGGACATGCTACGCCGAAACGCAATTGTGAGCAGCTCTGACCGCTCCGTGTGCCTTTTATTCGCTGCTGTCAAAATTAATTCACATTTGATAGTGATAAATTGTTGGAAAAGAGTAGGCATTATAAAGACTCATTGAAAGCTCTTTATTCTCTTCAATGGCCTGCAATACTACCACTGATTTATACCCAATCACTATGAGCGTGTTTTTGTCCATTTTAAGCGACGTATTATTAATTTGAGCAAAACAAATGGCATTTTATTGTTAGTAGTGGTCAGGAATATGAACAGTTTTGATGGATATTGTTTGAAAACTATTACTATTGTTTATGAGCAGGGAATAGGGCTCAAACGTGAGTGAATAGAGACGTCTGGTCACCACTGAATACAAAAGCTTTAGATATGGGGCACTTGACTGAGAGCGGCTGCACTGCTCTGCTCCAAGCCGGGCTAGAGTGCTCAAGCAGCGGGCGACGCTTCTCAGTGTCCCAACGCTGAACAAAACCCTAAGCATGTGCAAAAAACATATTATGTGTACTTATTGTTGTCTAAAAGTGTAAACATTTGAGCTAGCTAGTCTCAAATCAAAAAGACGCTCATAAGGCGCGATTGAAAACAAAAAGTATTTATATTAAAGTTTGTAGCTTTACTGTAACTTCATTTAATTGCATGGACGTAATGATTTGATATAAATACAATTCCACTGCTACAGCTCAGTAGACTATACGCCTCTATAAATCACCTGTTAAAAATAAGCAGAAGAGTAAACACTTATGTCCCAGTGCCTTTAGGCTGTGGCGTCACATCCTCGCGCGTTAATGGCTTGTAATGATTGTTTTTCACTATAATCGTGCAGAAAAGTAAATCTAATAAATGTGCATTCTTTCCCATGTCTTACTGACTATTTTACCTTTCATTTTGCACGTAATGATGCACAATACTGTCGTAACTGTACCTTGCTGCACACATATACATCATTATTATTGCTAAGTTGCTGTGTACGTTTATACAGATTGTACGTGCATTTAAGAATAAAGAACACGGTTAAGTGTATCTTTTTGGGCTGCTATTGTCTTGTTTGGATGCTTTCTGTTGTAACACTGGTATATCCTTAGAATTACAAGGTTACTTTTGAGATATGGAGGTTTCAAGTTTTGACTCTCAATTGAAATGTGCACACAGAAGTATGCACATCGAAACCTTAGTTTTTTTGCAAATAAAATACTCTTAAATGTTGATACACTGAGAATAAGCAGCCTAGGGTCAACATTGTCCTCTTCATTTCTCAAATTTGACAAATATATCAGAAAGAAGCTCATTCTAAGAGGACACAGTGTATAAATAAAGCTTGTGTTGTTGTAATTTTGAAAACGATTGAAATAATGAGGTTTTTTTTGTTTTGTTTTTTTGTAATCTCACACACACTTACACACAGGCGCGCGTAGAGAGCCAAACAAATAAGTCCGAATACCTTCCCGTCTCATGCCCACTTTGAGGCATTTCTTCAGCCGACAGTACTGGCACTGGTTGCGGTGGTGCTGGTCTATGGGACAATTCCTGTTGGCGCGACACGTGTAGGTCAAATTCCTCCTCACGCTGCGTTTGAAGAAGCTCTTGCAGCCTTCGCACGTGAATTGGCCGTAGTGTTTACCGCTCGACTTGTCCCCGCACACCACGCACTCGATATGCTGCGGCTGCTTGTCCTGGTTCTGGGAGGAATTCTGCTGGTTGGACGGGGTGGACTGCGCGTTCGTCTGCTGCTGCTGCTGCGAAGACGGGGGAGGCGCGACTTGCGAAGCCGTGAGACCGAGCTGCCCGGGCGTCGGCAGAGAGAGTCCGCCCTGGGTCTGCGAGGATAGCGCGCCCTGCGTGTCTGCCACGTCTTCCTGGGAGCCTCGCCACACTACCATTGCCATATCGGAGCGGTCACAGTGGAGAAACTTTTGCGTGTGCCGTCGTTGCTGTGTTGGTGGGGGGATAGAAATGGCTGGGAGGGTATAGAAGGCAACTCGCAATTGGCAAAAATCGGATTTCTTCAAGAGGATGGGATATCCAGTCTCAGTGTGCGTAAAGCCGACTCACCCTTGTGTAGTAAGACCACTATACAGACATGTTTTGAAATGGATGAGGTTTAGTTAGCGCATTAGTCTCTCAATCAAACGTCGCTTCTCCTGGTCATGTTCAACTAAAAGCAAATGAATGATATTTGCCCGGAATCGATTTACGCGTGTATAAGCTTCAATCAAAAGCAGTCCATAGCAAATGAGAAAAAACACACCGCGTATAACTCCGATTGTGCTCCAGCGCTTTTTACTGCCCCGCGTTCAGAGGCCAGTGAGTCCAGGGTCGCGCGCAGTCAGCCATCCACCCTTCGAAGCACCGCTCGCTGCTGCTGCTGCTACTACTGCTGCTGCTGCTGCTGCTTTGACAAGCCCGAGGAGAGAAGGCAGCATGGGTGGACACATACAAGGGGGGCTGGCTGCTTAGGATGGACGAATACGGACAGGCGAAGCCAAAACCACAGCGCGTCTGTTCGCTGAGCAGCACCCAATAGCGGCGAAACCTTGCCTGCTCGCTCGCTCGCTATCAAGTTCCAAGTCAAGCCTCGAAGAAAAGCCGTGTTGGGAAAAAAGCAACGTCTTCTTCCCTCTTTTTTTTCTTTCTTTTGCTTCCTGTGAGGTAGCGCCAATGTGTTTTCTTTTTTTTGGAGGAGAGTGGAATGTCCAAAAAAGCCCCAGAAAAAAATAACACTAAGATCACAACCAGTAGTAGTGGCGATGCCTCTCGATCCTTTGCAACAAGACAAAAAGGAGAAAGGGCATAAGCAGCGCGAATCAAAGTGATCAAATATGTTAAAAAGGCGGAGGTTATACGGGATAGTGATTTGCGATAGGGAGAAACGCCAGAATGCTTTCTCTCTGATCAGCTCGCAGCGCTCTCTATATACTGAACTTTGACACGACTGCTGCAACTTAGCGCACGTTTCCATGGTTACGTGCTGCCATATATGGAAGCAGGGTGCGTTTGACTGGTCAGGGCTCAGGGACCTCCCCCTCCGTTCCATTGGCTGAGCGGCACTTGTGCTACTTGGTGCCGTGCCAAAGCTGTGGGAAGGTCGTGAGGCCGCTTGGTCCTAAAGTCAGACGCGTTGCACTGTTGATGGATAGATATATTCAGACGTAAAGTATATTTTGGCTCATGTGCACGCGCATTAAAGCGAGTTTCAGGTGGAAAGAAAGTAACAAGCATCGTATATTCAGCTCGGTCTCATGCGCAATTACGCACGGCGCAGTGTGAGCGTATACACATACATACAGCAGCCTATACAGTTAAACTACTCTCATTTAAGCAATGAATGAACATGCAATTTAACATGTAACCACTCATATGGAATCATGAAAGAGCAAGATTTATGTTTGGAGCCATCACGCTGTACGATTAGAGCTGAGGTACCAAACTTTCAAACTATACAAAACTATGCCATAACACCCATTTAAATAATTGGTGATGATAATAGTAATAATCACAAACAGTTATCACTAGCTTTCACATGCATATATGTCTGGCCTCCTTCAGACAGAGAAGTGGAAAATCCAACCGCTTTCATGGAGAGCGTAAAACGTATCCCCGTACATGCGCTCGTATCACACAAGACAAATACAGGCTCATAGAATTGCCAAGATTTTAATAAAACAATATGAATAATAATAATAGCAAAAGCTGAGATGTGTACATAGACATTTTCATAGAGTGCTCTGGCTTTCGCTGCTCCCGGGGAGGTCACCAAAGGCCAAAAGTCGCTGCTATTGTCTGGAGCTGAGCCACACACTCTTGAAATAGGCACTGCACTTAAAAAGCAAGAGCGAAAAGACACGAAAGGCCAAAGGTGTTCCCCTCCAGATGAAAGCAGCTCCAAAGCTTTGCCAGTAAACACCTTTAGTACATCCAGTTATTACGCACCCGTGTCTAATTGTCCACGCAGACACACGGAATGCCTTTAATGGAATCTAGAATTATTTTTATATTTTTATTTTTTTGAAGTCCGAGTGGTGTGGGGAAAAGTTGACCTATCGTCCCGGGCATGAACCGTACTGGCTATAAGGGGAAAGCCACAAGCACAAGCAGCAGCATGCATTGTCCCAGCAGAAGCAGCACCAGCAGCGCGCGTATTGCAGTGTATGAGCGCCCCCTAGCGCACGCACGAAACCCACCTCCTTCAAATGGCTTCAACAGCAGACGAGGCATCCGACACGAGCTTCAGTCGCAGCAGCAGCAGCCAACGCGGTCCGAACTAAATGCTCGCTTTTATGGATATAAGTCTTCCTTTTTGTCGACCTTATGTCTGTAGTCCGCGGTGGTATCATTTTATTTTTCCCGTCCAATTTTTTATTTTGTTTTACGCGCAGCATTTCGTGTTTACATTTTCACTGTTTTTTGCAGATGCTTGAATGCCTCTCGTTGAGGTTAATATTGGTGAAAGCGAACAGCGCACGGTTTTAGCAAAGTAAGTATAATTCTTATGTTGAATTATAGGAATTTTCTGCAGCATTTACAGCACCGCGCTTTTCCTCCGTTAAAACGCGCTGTTCTAAATTGCACAGTCTCCACAAGGGCATGCAGCTCACGCCAAAGCGAATAAGCCAAAGCGAACACATTCTATTTAATATGGAGAAAAAAAACACAAACACGGATTTGCCACTTTTTACGCAGCTTATGATTCATTTTTAGCCATACACACACACCCACACACACACACACACGCATACACACTCATTCATAAGTTCTTTCACAACGTGGAGAAGAGTGCATGTGTGACTGACAACAGACCTACCAAAGGCATAGGGCTCGTCCGTGGCGGGATGCATGTCTCCTCCTATTAAAAACAAAAAAAATGAAAATTGATTTATATATTTGAAAGAAAAACAGCAAAAACACAGTCTTCTTTATGCGTCTTTATCTGACGATTACAGCCAATGCGCCTTTTCTGTTTCACTCCTTTCTGTCTCTATCTAATGTGTCATGTTGGCCGACGCGCACGCACGCATATGGGCTTGGAGAAGCTGCTGCTGCTGCTGCTGCTGGCGGCGGTGCTTTGTGAGCGCGTGGAGGGGTGCGCGAGGGAGAGAGGAGGGGGAGGAGGAAGGGAGGGGGGTGAGATGGGACAACACAACAGGCACCTGTCTATGTCCAGGATAAATTATTATTAGTGTTGTTGTTATTACGTCCGCTGGAATGGAGTGTTTAGAGTGACGGCGTTAACTGGGCACGGTGGGACGCAATGAAGGAGCAGATCATGGCGTTTATCTTTGTCATCTTCATTTTAAACATAGAAGAAAGAGTAGATAATGCATTCCTCGTTTCCTTTCATTATTTAAACAGTGAATTATTTGGATTATGCTTTAAGAAGTATAGCCTATATAGTAATATTTTAGTAATGGCAGCTTTATTTGAATGTTTACTTTGTTAATTTACAGTGAATACTTATTTTTCTCTAATAATTGTTTGTATACACATTATCTATTCAATTTTGTTTCTTTAGGCCTATACATATATTTTGGCATACTCTCCTCAAGACTCCCATGAGGCCTATTTAGGTTATTGTTATAGCTAAAAAAAAAAAAAAAACATATTTTACTTAGTTAGTTTTTCATGTGGTACAGGTGTCTTGTAGCCTCTGTATATTAATACATAAAGGCAATATTTCCTCTTATTTACATATTTTGGGGATAATTGTAAATAAAGTAGTAACAGTAAACTTTGTTTAATGCAACTTTCTCCTTGTTACGTATTTTCCTTTTCCCCATAATTTGACATTAAACTTGCGTCCGTTTCTTGCTTATATTTTCTGATAATTACACCCTACATGTTGTTCAGCTATACAAACTAGAGTGGACACACGGACTGGTCAACATGTGTATGCATTCCCACGCCTGCGCATGCGATTTGCCCCAAACACCGGAGGCATCTTGATCTTTCCCCGGTGTCCAAAGCAGGCGCATGGGGCATTTTTTACGCACGGCTCACAAGCGACGTGCACTGCAAAAAAAGGTTCAAGATACGGGAATGACAGTAATGTGTGATTGCATTTAGCATGATGTACCTGCAAGTTTAGAAGCAACAAACACGTCGTTGTGTTTTATGCGAACAGTTTTTTGTATTTTTGGTACTTTCAGTTTTCCCGGCGGTGCGTGGATATTTCTTGTTCCGTGGGCCACTTCACATTTCAAGTCTTGAAGTGGGTAACTATTCATTTTTTGGGATTGTCGTATTAGTTGTTCAATGTTAGACTTACAAAGGTATCATCCAAAAACCATAGGTCAAACCTTATTGTGCAAAGGTTCAATTCTTGAAGAAAGAAAAGAGTTTATAGTAAAAAAAAAAAAAAAAACTGTAAATAACTTTTATGGGTGTAGACGCTTTTTGTCATCCGTCTTATTGTCGAATAAAACAGTTTTCAGTAGTTTAAAAAAATACATATATGTTTTTATATGTTTTCAACAATCTATCATAGTTGATGTAATAAATTTTGCTTTACTGGCTGATAATGTTACTTTCCAGTTCAAGTCTCCCCGCATCAAAAGACACAGACATGGTATTATTTGCAGTGCCCGGCAAAATGTAGTTTGTTGTTTTACTTCCATTTAATATGAAACGCTCCCCACCAAACGCACACCCAGTTATACGCACAGCCTGTGTGACTGCTTTGCTTCGCTGGATCGATTACGCAGAGAGACCGGGGAAGACTTCGGAGGCGCGCTAAATATTTACTGATCGCCAATGCGCACGAGGAGGGGGGCGTAACGATTCCCACCCCCCTCCTATGCTCTTCTCCTGTCTCTGCTCGCTCTTCCTGCGCGGGGAAAGCACTTTATTATTGTTAGGACAAACAAAGCAGGCGTTTTGGAAGAGC